ATTATAGCCGCTTATTTTATTAATAATATTAGAAATAAGTCAAATATGTCAACACCGTCGTTCTGCTTTTTAACGTGATGCTTATTAACGTTACCGCTACTCATACGTAAATAAAGAAACACGTTATCTTCTAATAGCGTAAACGGTTATTTCTTTCCTAATGCGCATGCTCAGAATAACGGATAACGTAAAACGTGTTGCAATTAAGGGGCCTAAAAACTCCCTATTATGTTGTAGAGTCACTTTACCATATAGCGAGCGATAAAATAGACTGGCATTTAAGGCGAAAAATCATCTCGAGAGTAGATCTTTTTAATTCAATACATTTTTCTTCAGATAAAGTCTACTCAAAAATGAATAGGCACATATGGAGAACCCTGTATTTCACTGCAAGTCGATAATTTTATTGGCTTTTCATTATTTAGTTTCTTTTCCCAAGGATTTCAATTTCCAAATATGCAGAGTGCTTTAGGAAAAGTTGAAGCATCCATTGCTTTTCTTACTAACTCGAAACTTTTCGATAACGATTCATAAATGATTTTTGTTCCACATTCTGCCTCTATGTTTACTGCTTCCGAATTGATTCCGGAACCATTTATCTACCGCGCAAATACAACAATTATACAGTGCGTCCCAATTTCGGCCGTCGCTCTTTAAATATCCAACTTCATTAAGGAAAGTGCAAAATTTTTTCGTTAACAATTCAAATGGTTTAAAAGCATTTTATCTTCAATTTCATTGACAAGTTTTAAAGATCATAAAAAGTCAATTTTTATCTATTATTTCGTTATTGCTATAAGGTGTTTATACTTAATAAATAAAATTGAAGAAATATTGATTTTCAAATGATTTAAACTCTTAACAAAGCTCTTTAAAACTTGTAAATCAAGTAGGAGAAAGAAATGTTTATGAACAGGTTAAATCGTCGTAAAACAAAGACGACGTTCCATAGGGACCACTGAAATTGGGACCTGCTTTGGCCTGGATGACATTGGTGAGTTGGTGAGTTATAGCTCATCGAGTCTCACTGCGCCCCACCTTGAATTGCGTCTGTGGCGGAATAATTCTTAAAATGAGAACTTTTAAAGTGCATTTTTAATTAGGTAGTTGAAATTTTGCTGGTTTCTATCATCGCTCAGAAGTTGAGCAAAAGTAATTTTTAAGCGATTTCTTCGCGGTTTTTTTGTTTAGTTAATATTTTTAGAATAACAAAATTAATTTGGTTATTAATTTTAGTTTTGGCGTTGTCCATTGATCTGCAGCTTTTTGCAGATTTCTGCAGCTAAGTGAAATTCAGACAAATACAAATGGCTTTATATTTATAATTAAATCAGTGTAAGATGGGAGTTGGAGCGTTTTTCGTTTAGTTGTTGACTTTTATTAAKTTGGAACGTGAAATTTGCCTTTGGAAATATGGCCGTGCGAACAGGCACTTTTCACAAAAATGTCAACAATAAACAAACTGAAATCGAACTCCCAAGTAAAGCATGAATCATCCAAAGGGCGAACAATTAAATGATTAAATAATCATGTTTATTCTGCAGTTCGGAGTCTTTTTTGTCGAAAAGGTTTATGAATGAGCAGTTTGCTACCGACAGTGGACGAAATCGGTCAATAATGTTTTATGCCGGGTGAATCGCGTTCTTAGATGAGAAATATAGAATCATTGTGCACCTTCAGGCAAGTGGGTAGTTTGTATGTGTAGTGAACTGCTTGAGGATTAATGAGTAAAAATGGAGGCTGGAGCCCTGCGTGGTAAGAATGATCTCTAATCTAAAAATCTGTTAGCTTGAACTTCAGTTTAGTTTTCCGACAAACAATTGAATTTTTATGGATTCTGTATGTTTCTCTCTCTGTGCTTTGCTGATTTCAAATAAGTTTGGCTGTGGACAGATTGTATGGTGTACTAAACACATTTTCATCTTTCTTTCCAGGTGGCACTGCGCAGCTTTCGGTAAGTTTAGCATTACTTTGCCTCTGGTTTCTATGTAGACGTAGAACTTTTACTCCCATGTTCATCACCTGACTCGTATGGTGAATTTGGTATCGATTGAGCTATTGGGTCTTTCGTAGTTAATTTTTAAACCTTGGGAATACCTTGGGCGGTGGGGGGCTTTGTATTTTTATATTAAGCCCATCTGAAGCTTTTCGCTAAAGAACCGCGTCAGATATGGAAGTTTGGGTTCCAGAATTCAATAGAAGAAGCATCAGCTTACTGATAGTGGGTGTGGATTTGGTTCCGATAAACTATTGATTCCTTGACAAGAAATTTTTAAATTTTGGGAATATTCTTGGGCGACTTTGTATTTTTACATCTGAAGCGTGTCTCCAAAAAACCGTTTCAGATATGCAAATATGGGTTCCAGTTTTATGATTTTTGCCAAAAAAAGTAAAGAGTTTTCATTTGCATTTCTTCTTTATAGCGAAACCGACTGAAAAACTCTGTTGAATTTGTCACAAAGTCACACGAAATTTGAATACCAGACAGACATTTTAATTTAAAAGAAATTTTTTTCTACAGAATGTCTATCTTTCAAGTTTCTACTGGCTTTACTTTCGTAGTGGAAATTTTTTATTTAGGAGCATGCAGTTGCCTATAAGTGTTCATTTGAAAATCAACATTTATGAAGCGCGCAAAATTGAGGATTGCATGCGACTTGAATGAACTTTGAGGGTTTGCATGAATTTTGGCGGCATTTAGAGCCCACTCTTTGAAGTAAAGCTTTATTCAATAATGACAAATTCTTAGCTTTTTGTTAGCCAGTATCCCGACTACAGGTTCTTTATATTCGTATCATTACTTACCATATAAGGCCCAATCAGTTACTGGAGCCACCGATATTCCACATTTGAACACATCATCAGTATCAGTAGCCAATGCCATGCCAGCTGCATATCCCCCATAACTCCAACCCCAAATTCCAGTCCTTGTTGCATCAACATAAGGGAGATTTTGCTGAATTAGTCTGAAAATATTATAACTTTTTTTAAAAAGAATTAACGTATAAAGATATGAAATTCAAATTATTTAAGTTTTGTTTAATTATTTTAAATTTTTAGTTTTGCGTAACGATTATCTATAATCTTTGTATT